CGACAGGAGCAGCGGAACCAGCATCATCGACGCCACATGTACAAGGCAGTGATCAAGTAGATTTTGAAAGCCAGTGCTGTATGAACACTTTGGGCAATCTCACAGAATCAGCTGAACACGCTGCCACGGCAGCAGCAATGCCACTAGCGAAAGGGGCAGCTGCAATAGGAAGCGTAATATCAGCAGCAACACTGGAGCAGCGGCAAAAGTCAGAAGCAGCGTTAATAGTGAGCTTAGTCAAGTCGGCCCCAACAGCACCCTCAGCAACCCATCGGCACTTGTGGCAACAGCACGTCCACATCCGAGCCCGTGGGCAACAAACTCCTGGAACATGGCCGCAAAAGCGCCAACACAAAAGGTGTGAGGAGAAGGAAGAAAGCAGAAGCTGCGTCAACGTTTCACAGTAGACGGAAAAGTGGCAACTGCAACAGCAGCGGTAACAGCAGTCAAAAGGGGAAGGTATATTGGAGGCAGCGGCAGCAAGTACCTGGAGCGGTGATACTCCTCTCTGGCAGTTAAGGGCCAAGTAGCGGCTAGACAGCCTAGCGATGGAACCCATCATCTCTGCTGCACGTGTAGGATCCCTTTCTTCTATAACTTTAGGGACTATGTGTTTTGCTGGGTGCCCCGTCGTAAGATGACTACCTGCTGCCTATGGCCCTGATTGTTGGCTCTCGCCGGGTGTGGTGGCCGTTACATAAAAGCTAAAATGTACGCTGTTTCATCACTAAGCATGCATGCTGGCCAAAAAGGGGCTGAATGCTTCGTTCGCGCCGTGCGGGGCTGTTGCCCGCTGCAGGGCGCCGCTACTATCAGTAGACGTGGTTGGAAGAGACACTACATTACAGGACCTCCACATGACTTGCATTTAAAGATGCATGTAGCTATTTCTGCTAGTGACTGGAGGAAGGACGCAGATGTACAGCAGCAGAATACCCTGCAAGCGGGCCTGAATTCTCCGACAGGAGCCCGTAGAACGGCAATGTACGACCATGTGATGCAGAAAGCTTTCTACCATCGTTGTCTTAGGCAACGCCTGTATATTTATATATTTCTGGACATTACATTTGGTGCGTAGACGCATACTGGCCCTTCGCGGGATGACATCATATGCCCACTTCTTGTGGTACTCCAGGGTAGTAGGTCTAGTGCGCCCTAGCTACACTTTGGCACTTTCCGCTGCTACACTTGTTCTATTTCACAAAAGTAGTTGAGACTAACTGATTGGGCTGGCTGCTCATTTGTTTTGTTAGTTGCATTGCCCAGAGTTAGCTTGGTACTGCGAGTGAACGCCCTGAGACTGCGCATAAGGGTGCTGTGGATAACTTAGTGCCGATGAACGCTATGTGCTCTGAACGAGTTGTCACACGCATGAAGGCTGCTTTTGCTTAGCGCTTATTCTTCAGGCCCGAGCCCTATAGGGTAAGGGCACGGCGAGCCGGAGACCACTTTGAGGGGCCATCAAATGACTTCGTATCAATTGTGGCGAGCTATGCTACACTTGAACACTTTCTACTGAACTACTTACATGTGACCAAGAAATAGTAAGCAATTGACTTATTGGATCTTTTGCTTGTATATCTAATAAGGTGCAGAGTTCTGCTCGCTCAACACAAGAAGACACAACTTGACTGCGTCTGCGCTATTTGCTGGGTGCTACCAGCTGTGCGTGCTTGAAGTGCCTAGAAAATACACACACCCTAGCACTCCCTCTATATACATTTCGGGAGCTCTGAGGGTGCGGGCAGGGGAAGAAAGGCGTTCCTTTGAGAAACACGAAATAACTTTCTTCTAAGTTTGTATTGCATGTGGAGTCAAGTACATTCATACGGAGACTCTTGATACGGTGTTACACCAACCTTGAACCTCTCTAGAGTAAGAATACCATTGAAACTGGACTGCACGCACAGCAGCTCTTTGCAAGTGCAAATAGCAAACTAGTTCTAATCAGTGAATGCCTTGTAGTCTATTCTGCACGGGCTGTTACCTGAGTATCGGAACATCTCAACGCTAAGAGGTGCAACCTTAGAAATGCTCGTAAACGTACACTGGCTTAACAGCCTAATCTGCGGGAGTATGGGTACAATATACAAAGAACTATGTATACGGAGTTCTACAAAGCCAGTTGTTGATGCGCCACCCTTGGCAGTGAACCCATACAAATAACTATCGTCTGCATGCCAATCTGGTTAAAGACGACTTGGCTGATGTTTGATGCTTCGCTGAAGAGCACCCTGCCTTTTAGAGAGCTTCTGCCCAAGCTGAAGGCCGCCAAATCTCAAATTAGCAGGTCTCGGCACACTTTTGGTGCATTCTGATGGACAGCACCAAAAAACTACGTGCTGCTGTTTTTAAAAGGCAGCAAGGCGTCATTTTGGGGATGAATTAGTCGGGACAGACTCTGATGAGCGAAAACGGTGCTCAAAGATATTCAAACAGCGCATGTTGCAAGCTGGAGGCGCACCATATCAGGGTTGTGCTGCACACAAGTACGTATTTGTGGATGCTTACAAATGCACGTATATATATATATATATGTATATATATACATTCGTGGCCCCGCGCACATGCCATGTACTTAGGCATGTGTGTGTGCTCACATATATATATACAAGTATACACATAAGGCTCTGGACGAAATAACAGAGTGGCTGAAGGCCGTATTAAGGGAACAAACGAGGGGATACACTTGTGTGAACGCAGAATCTTGGCATGAAAGGCGTAGAGTGCCTAAAGCCGATGGTCTTACCGATGGGTATAGGCACTAGTACACATCTTTTGGGAAGCTACATCCGCGCATTTGTATGCGCATATATGGATAAATGCGCCTTTCGATATGTATGTGTATAAATATAGATCTGCATCAGAGGTGGCTGGAGGGCTAAAATATCCCCGCCCGTTGCCTGCAGAGCAACCCCTGGTATCTTTCTCCGTGAAATGACCTCTTCCTTTGGCGAGTCCTCCCCAAACAGCCAAAGGATCCAGTACACACGCCTCAGGAAGAGAGCCCTCACTGCGTAATCGGGTACTCCATACGCAGTATGTGGCTCCCCAACCACAGCGTATTTTCTGGATAAGCTTGTGCCGCCCCTCCCCCCCCTCCTCCCGCAGGATCTCAAGCCCTAGCGTCTTGTATCCAAGGGCCCGCGAAGGGTATATATTGAACCGCTATCAGGAGTAGAGGTTACGCACATGTAGCGCTCTTTCCCCCCCGAATCCCCTGAGCGTTTTTGTACTTAGCCGGCTGCCATGCTATTTGAAGGCAAGGGGGCTGTTAGGGCCACATTATGCCCTGAGTTGTTGCGCGGTCAAGGGCAAACGGCGCCGAAGGGCAGGCGCTAAGAGCTCACGATACAGAGGTTGTTGGAACCTCCGAGGCTCGACCACCAATTTCTACATGGGATATCGAGTGCTTCCTCATCAGGAAGAGGCTCTCCAACCCCTCGGCTGGCCCCTGAAAGTTGCAGCCCATTCGCTGGCTTTTGCGGTACATATGTGTGCTAGCAACTCACCTCTTCAACGTTCCTGGGAGGCTTACGGCCGCAGGAGGGGTCTGACTGCCGCCGTGAGCCCCTCCGAGCCAAAGAACCCCCTTCGATTGGAAGCCCTCTATGACGCGTAGAATTTTGCACCTGTACTACTGCAGGCAGCGTCTTCCTGCGGCTGCTGGTGCTGGTGCTGCCTCTGCTACTGGTGCTACCACTGCGGCTTTTATTGCTGCTGCACTTCTCCTTGAAGGCGTGAGCCACCCAACCGGAGGCTGAAGAGGAGCTGTCATAGTCGCTTGTAACTGCGGAGGAGCACCCAGTCCCTCCATCGCTTTGCACTTCGCGCATGCAGGCTCTCTCTCTGCGCCTGGCGGGCGCAGCAGCCTCCCCAAAAGCCGGAGCGAAGGCTGGCTTCTGCTGCAGCCGATCTTGCCGACGCCCCCTTCGTTTGTGTTTCTTTTCTTCGTCGTAGGGTGTTGCCGACAAGGCCCTTCTCGGGGGCACAGCTCGAGTTGTCCCTCCAAGCGATGTCTCTTGGGGATGACCCCCTTCTAGCCCATCCATTTGCGGGAGGCGTTTAAGCGCAATGCTCATGTTGCCCTTCTTGAGCTCCTCCAGGGCGCTGGTGCATGGAAATTGAATCAAGGCCTCCAAAAAGAGCCGGACTTCATACACATTATCCAGATGCAGTGTGGCAAAGGTGCCTCTGTTGCGAGGCGACACAACAACGGGTATGCCCGAGGGAAATGAACGCACGACGCGGAACGCATCCTCATCTGTCAAGTCATCTCCCACGTATATTACTCCAAGCTGCAAAGAAAGGCACACAGCAACCGTTCAAACCGGCGGAAACGGGAAAAGATGGATACAACAAACGCAGGTCGCACGAAGAAAACGTGCCAAAGGAGGAAAGAAGACGAAGCGCGGCCGCAAAGATGAGCAATGGACTGGAAATGGTGCTAATTGACAGTGTAAAATTGCACCGTGGATAGCAAACAAACAAGAGGGCATTAGAAGATAAGCCACACAGAAGAAGCAGGCCCTGATCAACGGAAGGCAGCTGCTAGAAGCAGCAGGCCGGCAAGGAACTGGCTATTGTGACATGACAGAAGCGCCATGTATTCATTAAAAGGGGAGATAGGCAGAAAAAGAGACGGCGGCAGCAAGACAAACACGAGCCCCTCTTTATGCAAAATAAAAGAAAAGCTGCCCGATTTGAAAAGCCAGACAAAATGCAGCAAGAGCACTCTTCCGAGAGGCACGGGAAGTGGGACATAGGCAAGGGTTCCGAATTAGCACGAGCGAGCATCGAGCGGTAGCGCATTGTTGGAGCAAAGACGTTCTACGTCTAGAAAAATGCATTCACAAGGGAAGGCGGGCATTCGGAAGATAAATGGAGAGGCAGCAAGAGACACAGGGCGACGCACAGCGTGAGAAAGCGACCGAAGAAGTGCCGCCTTCAAGGCTCTAGACAGAACCTTGCACGGGAGGAGAAACGCTAGCAGTGTAGTCCTAAGGCTCAATGCCGACATGCGCTGCCATTCGCCTTACATCTTTGCTATGGCCATTGAGACCAACAGCCTCCAGAATCCAAGAAATCGCTGTGCCCTTATCCCACTCGGCTGCGATTCTAATATCGAAGAGCTCTAATCCTAAGCACTTGCGCAGAGTAGGAAAGCCCTTAAGAACTCGATCGAGAGCCGCCTCCAGAACTGCGCGATACTCAGGACAGTGCCTGTAAAAAGGCAAACGCATATACAACATACACATGCATACATACCCATGCATGGATGCATGTGCAGAGATATGTATGCATAGATATATATATATATATATGCATCCACATGCATTCACATCCATACATACACATGCATCCACATGCGTACATACATATGCATATATACATATGCATACATGCGTACATACATATGCATATATACATATGCATACGTGCGTACATACATATGCATATATAGATATGCATACATACACATGTATACACATGTGCATTCACATACGTTCACACACATATACATACATACGCATGCATACACATACATACATACACATACAGAGGTACACTGACACACCTATACACACACAGCGCACGGAAGAAACAGCGTGGGGTGGGGTGAAAGACGGAAGAATAAGGTGCCTTTGCGCGCCGCTGAGACATGTGAAGAGACAGCAGCATGGGCTTTTTACAAGGCTCTCACGGCCAGTCGATGCACGGGGTGGTTGGCACCAGTGCTGCAGGCGGAGCGGCAGCGCACTGGTGGAAAAACACCAGCAGTGGCAACTCGACACGAACCTGTAATGAATGGAAACAGAAAAATAGTTGTCTTCCACGTAGAGTCCCTTGATCGGGCCCACAGACGCCAGCACCTCAGCGACTGCCGACCTCAAGGCAGAAACACTTGCCTCGCCTACCTGAAACAACATGCACAGAGAGAGCACACCAGCCACCGTCAATAGCAGCTCGACAAAGCACACAAGAACACACACACACAAACACACACACAAAAACACACATACGAACACACAAAAACGCATACAAAAACACACATACAAACACACAAGAACACAAAAAACACACACAAAAACACACATACAATCACAAATACAGACACAAAAACACACATGAACACAAATGCACACACACAAGCACACATACAAGTAGACACGGAAAAGCAAGTCGAGAGGCAGCAAAAACGGTGGAGAGAGAGACTCGCACAGAAGGGAGAGGCGGGCGCTGCTGGAGCGGGATGGAGCGCAACTTGCTGCCGCAAAGAGAAGTCGAGGGACCCCGAGGTGTCAGGTAGGTAGCATGATTTGTGCAGACATGGCAAAGAGCGAACCTACGGAAACCCGCTTTTCTTGCTTCTTTTGCGAGCTGCCGGCAAAAGAAGCAAGAAAAGCGGGGGAAGGGAGAACGCACTCACTTCCTTGAACAGAAAGGCGACAGAGGGAGGGGTTAGGAGTCACTGACTCACTTGGTGCCGAAGGCATATTCCAAAGCCTGCAGCATCAATATCAAATCCATGGCTCGCCGCATACATCAAGGCTCTGCGTCCAGGGGCATCAGATAGCCGTACAAACGACCTGATGGTCTCTAATCGCCTCCCTGAGCAGTTCACAGGAGCCACACACAAACACACAGATCCATGCACACACTCAGACACAGCCATACATACACATACATACCTACACACATACATACATACACATGCAGATTCATGCCCGCACACCGTAGCTACACATGCGCATCTGCCAGACACACTCGCTCGCAGTGCGTCAACCGTGTAGCTGTCGATCCTCTGTGTTTCTTCGGATCCCATTTTTCCCGGCTGCCAGCCATGTCTCTCTGCCCCCCTCCTTGCCAAGCTTCTATCCCTCTCTGTTGCCTCCTTTTTTGCCACACCAGTGCCAAACTGACCAGTAACAATAGCCACGGGGAATACGGCTGCAAGCCGCTTCAGCGTCGCTCTAAACGCTGCAGACATGCGGGCCTCCCTCGGATCCGCCACTATGGGCGTCAGCGTTCCGTCATAATCCTTCAAACGGAAAAAAGAGAGCGCACAAGCCAAAGCCTCCAAACCCCACAAGTCACAAGCCCCCCAAACCACCCAAAAGGCCGACGACATGCGCTGAAAGCGCGAATGATGCCCCCACACAAACACACCATCACCCCCTTTCAGACGATAGTTCCGCAGCAGCTCCCCCCATTTTCGCAATTCCCAGGCCCCAAGTCGGAGTCTCGCTTTTTCCCAACCCCGTGCTCCCAACGGCAACCCTCGAAAGAATTGCTTCGAATCAGACGAGGCCAACTGACCAGAAAGATGCAGAGGGCCTTCTCTGCAAGCTTGTATCGAACATACTGCACTTCGTCCAATAAATTGGGTGTCTCGAGAGCCGTAGCAGCCCCCATTTCGATCTCTTGGGCCCTAAGTCGCAACTCCGGGATGCCCAGCGTTCTGCTGTGGCCTCTTTGACTGGGGGCTGACTCTAACGCGCCTCCAGTGCCGCTGCAGGTTCGGTAGCAGCAACAAGTGGGGACGCTGCTGTTGCTGAGGCGAGGATGCGACACGGATGCAGGAGCAGCCGACGCATCTGCACAGGGGGGAACAGATCCAGAACCTACTTTGGACGGCTCTACGACTGCCCTCGCGCAGATGGCTCTGACTCTCTGCCTGAATACCGTGTCGCTTAGCCTCCATGACACTGAACCCGAGCAATCTCGTGGCATGCGATCTGAACCAGCGCTGCTCCCCTCTGGTCCACGGCCTCGAGCGACGGCTTCTGCTGCTCTCCGTGCTGCTGCATGCGGTTGCAGCAGCAGGGTCGGTGAAGCGGGAGCAGCGGGAACGAGCAGCAGGGTGGGACTGCCTCCCGCTGGAAGCCCCTCCATTGACGTAAAAACTGACCTTGTTTTGAGCTCCTCTAGAACCCACTTTGGAGTTTCTGAGCGTTCTGAGGGCGTTATGGACAAAGAAACACCCACGTCCGTGCAGCTGATTCCAGCCGCAGAGATGACGCCTCCATTCGGTTCACGCGTTAGGAGCTGGAAGCGCTGTTGCGGTTTAAGCTGCCCCTGCTGCTGCCGCCTTACATCCAGCTGATGATGCTGATGCGTTTGTCGCTCTGCACGCCCTTCTTCTTGCCGCAACTCCTGCTCAACAGGGCAGTCATGCTCGCGGGGGTGCTGTCGCCGCAGACACAGAGCTTCAGAACTGCATTGGTTTTGGTGCCACTCCCGCGTGTTCTGCTGCTCTTGTTGGCACGACCGTTGCTCTTGGTGCTGCTGCTGATGCAGCAACAGGAGAGTCTCCAGCTGCTGCTGGGCTCCTTCTGGTGCGATAAGAATCCGGGAGACACGGGTTGGAGTGCCTGGCGCTGCCTGCGCAGCCTCCTCTTGGAACGCGAGGCCCCGTCGATGCCGCTGGCGCTGCACTTGTAGACGCCGTTTGTGGTGGTGGGGTAGTTGTTGCGCCGCGCTGTCTCGTCTTGCCGTTGCCGGCAGTTGTTGTTGCTGCGACTGCTGAGGCTGCTGGGCCTGGGCATCTTGTCGCTTCTCCTCCTGCTGCTGCAGCAACGGGGGAACTGCCCCGTTGGCTGTTGCCTCGACCTCCATCAACTGCGTGAGCACCATACAGCCGTTAGCACGTGACGCCGGATTGTGTGCTTTTAGCTCTTCGAAGGGGCCCTGCAGCGCTCCGCTGCGTGGGCCCCTTAGAGCCTCTGACCGTGTCGCAGGAGTGCAGAACGAACAAGAAATCCAAGAGATGCGTATGCCGAAGGCAAAAAGCTGGAGGCGTCAGATGCGGGCAAAGCGACGCGTGGCCTCTCACGCCATGGCAAGAAAGACGGCTTCTTTCAAAGGGGGATTCGCAACGGGGTCTTTGGCTCGCTTGGCAACGGTCATTCGAGCGACTGCGGGGTGGGAGGCATGGTAAGGCAGAAGGAGCTCGAAAAAGCTGGACGGCATGAACAGGGACCCTTCATATCGTCGCCGCTTCTGCTGCCATGCCGTGCAGCCGCGGCAGGAGGCAGCGCTGGCAACTCGAGAGACTTCGGGGGAAGGACGGGCAGATATATACTTCTGTATAGAAAGACACAAGAAACAAAACTAGCAAGGGCGGCGCAGAAACTCATAGCTCAAAGCCCTTGCGTTGTTGGCTGCTCATCTGAGTATACCAGTCAGATCGGGCGGAGCGCTGTATACCTGCTTTTGCTGTTGTGCAGGGTAGAGCGCGATGCCCTGAAGAGGGACGAACAGCGAAATCAGTGAAATTGAAGGTCGGGGGCCCTAGGGGCCCCCAATAGGGACAGCAGCTTTCGCTACTACCGCGGCGGTGCCGCACGCAAAAATCCGGGGAGCAGCACGCCAACCGCCTCGCTGCCCTCCGGCAGTGCTCATTTGTCTTCTGAAAGGATACAGGATGCATGCGAGCTTACAAATGAACTACTTGGTTAATTAGCGCTGTTACGCCATACTTTATATAACGAAAATTATCCTTCGGGTGGACAGACCCTCCAACAGCCAGCAACCAGACAAGTCCCCAAGATCACCGCCCCAAAGCAATAGCCCACAGGATGACAGCAATTCAAGAAATAAAACTCATTGTTCTAGTGGCAAGCTAACAGATATGCGACAGGAATAACTAATAGGATGCCTTCCTCCCACTAGACCACACACCCAGTCCAGTGGTACATACAGATAGCGCGCTCTCTATTACCCATATATATATACTCAATCATCGCGAACCGATACGAACACCCTACACAATAGACCCTACAGTCTGCCGCTAAGCTGCGAAATCAAGGCCTAGGCCATCCCTTTATAATATAGCCACATCCACTCAGCCGAACTGCCTTACGTTTTCCTTAGCCATGTGGGGGGCCGACTCCTACCCTGCTGCTTTTGATCATCGCCATAAGTCCCAGTCCCAGACCCTGAAGTCCAGCTGTACACTCTAAACTGTACGCCTTCGCTGGCAGAAGGCCACTCCACACCTTCATCCCTAACGTTTTTTAGAGGGTCGAGAAGCGAGGCACAATGGTAAAGCACTGCGCCAGATGAGGACGGGTGTGCCATTCCCCTCGGAGCCCAAATAAACAATTCCAGACTCGAAAAATTCTATTTTGAGCGTCCTTCCATAAAATCATTATCTCCCTAAAGCACTCCCTCTGTCCTGCTTCGAAGAAGGAGACAGTTTTAGCCCCGACCCCTATGCAAAACTTAGTGGGAAATCATTCCATGTTTCTTGTCAGAGCGACTTTTCCTTGGTCATGACTTCATGCCTCAGGGTTCCGGAACGAGGAAAGAGGGGCAGGCAGGGTGTGCGTTGCTGCAGCTTCCTCCAAGCACTCCAAGCACTCCACGGCCAGGTGGACACAGCAACTTGCGCACAGGCACACAACAGTGATTCTTACCGTATCAGACTAACTCTACTCCGCAGTCAAGAAGGTCTACGATGAGCATAGCCAATTACTCAGTTCTTGACTACGAGCCTAGCTGGTGTTACAAAGATTGCCGAAGTCTAGCTTGGCCCGACACATTGCGTCTGCTGCCTACTAGACCCTAAATAAGTGAACCCTTGGGAATCTGGCCTGTAGAACGATTTGTATAGATAAGTAGGAGACACAGCGTTGCAGTGGACACACAAGATTACTCCTGTAGCTCTAGCGCTACCATGCACCAATCGTGGCCGTCGAAGAGCACTGTGCGTCCCTCTATGAAGGCACTCGTGGACACAGCCGTAAGCACATTTTCCACCGAAATTGCATTTTCGCCCTGTGAAAGTCCATAGGCCTAAGGCTTTTGGTCTACAGTCTCTATGGACAGCTGCAGCGCCAAAGAATACAGCAACTATAGGGGACGCTGCGCTGTCGCAGGGGACGCAGGCCTGCACGTTAGGAAAGGCAGCCAGATGATTGATGCCGCACAAGCCAATTCATAAGCATATACAAGTATCATGCTCTTGAGACAAAAGAGACTTTCAATGAACTAACCAATCCACTGCTCGCTTTGAGCAAGACACATCTGAGGCCTCCTTAGTCCCACAGCTCCTCAGTGTAAAGTCCAGCTGCGTGGGAAAGCACACGAAGGCGCAGGAGAGCACAGTCACAGAATTGATTGTAGCAAGAGCAGCACAACTAGCTGCCAGAGCCGCTGATCTCGCAGCCCCCTCGGCAGCGAGATAGGAGGCATGCAGCAACAGCCCCTGGGGAAACACCATGTGGCGCCGTGCAGCAACGAGATTCGCATCCTGAGAGGCAGAAATAGCATGAGCAGCAGTGATCCCGTACAGTCGTGCAGCCGCTTGATGAACGCTTCTGCCTTCTGCTGGCCAATCTGAGATGCCGCAACCGACAACAAGGCCTCTTGCACCGCCTTACCCATTGCAGGCCTCCTGAGCAGACACCAAAATAGCCGCTGGTACCGCCGTAATATCGAGAAGCAGCACAAGCAAGAAGCACGGCAGCACCAGCCACAACTACAGCAGCGACGGGAGAGACGTTACCCGCAGACAAACACAGCCGCTCCCGCGCGGAGGAGGCCCCACACCAGCTGGCCCTCTTCGACGACCTTGTGCTGTACGTACACCTTGCGCTGCAGGCGCCATCACCAGAGCAGCAGCCAAGGGGATACCAACAGCTAAGGTGGCATCAGCAGCTACAAAACAGCAAAGGGAAAGGAGGCACAGCGCAGGCCGACCTCCGGGTTGACGCGCGACAAAGCAAGAATAATGCGGCTGAGAACTCGTAAGTGAGGGCGCCTCTGCTGCCGGTAATGCTGTTGATCCTGCTGCAGCATTAACTGCTGCACCTCTGGTGGCTGCTGTTGCCGCTGGTCTGGGTCCAGGTAGCTCAGAAGAAGGTCCTGATAGAGGAAGTGCCTAATGTCTCGGCACCCATAAAAGAGGCAAACCGGTGCACGTGCTCCTCCCAGTGCGGCCAAGTGGTGCGCAAATGCAACAAAGGGAGCAATTCCTGCACTCAGCCCGCACATTCCACCAGGAAGCTGTCACCCTATAAGTGCATAGACATATAAATAAATATATATATGTATATATATATGTATGTACCCATGCAGGTATTCCCTACGTCGCAGGGCACGCCAGCAAGGCTCGTATCTAGACAAGCGAAACATAGGGCCCTACACCCTCTTGCTGAAATCTTACCAGTACCGGCTGCAACCAGAATCAGCGGGCGATCCTCCTTGGATGGAAGCTTGAAGGCTGAGGGTCTGCAGCAGCACAGGACGGCGGGGGGAGCCTCCCCGGATTCGTCCACCGCTACCTTCTGCTTGAGGTTTAAAAGATATGAGGAGCAGAGGCCCTCGTGCACGCCGGAAGGGATGGCCTCCAGACTCCCGAAGGGGCGTATTCCTAAAGGCAAACGAAGAGGCGACACACAAAGGTAGAGGTGCCGCAACATGGAGATGCACAGCAAGCACTGCGGAAGCGTCATCGCAGTGGCATCTGCAGAAAACGAGGGAGGAACGCCCTCAGACACCTGCAGAAACAGGGAAGTGGCAGGGCTGCAATGCATAGCGTCGTCCAGCATAGCGGCATAGCCAACGAACCGTGATGCTGCAGCAAATTCAACAGCTCCTGTGGGTTCCTTCGGGGTGTGCGGTGTCTATCCAGGCAAATGCAAGCTGTGCGCGTGATGCCGTGCCGCTGCTGCTCTTGCTGTTGCAGGTGAGAAGAGGCCAAGGTATAGGCTCGTGGCATGTGGTGTCTAGACAGCAGCAGCAGCAGCAGGCCCAAGTCTGCCGTTGCCAGATTGACAGAAGGTAGCAAAGCAGCCAACAAACCGCGGAGGCACCAACCTTGGCCCCTAATTGCTGCAGCAAATGTATTTTCCTGCTGTAGCACGCAGCAACAGGAAACACACAACAGCCGCCCTTATATGTATGTCTCGTTGCATGCAAGGTCAAAACCTCGGGCCCCTTACCCAAGCTCGATATGCGAGACTCAAAATCGCTGCAAACCTTTGGGTCCGTTGTGAGACGAAGCCACTGGCTCCGCTGGTCTGGATCCGTGGCGAACTGCGCGTAAACGGCCAACTCCGCGCGGCTCGGTAATGCGAAGCCGCAATACAGTGCAAGCGCATCCTGCACCAGCATCAAGGACCTCACCCACAACAACGGGCAGCAAAGACAATCGCTAAATGCCGTGGAATACAGCTATACCCTGGCAGTAGTGCATGCAGAAGCTGGACGAAGGGCGGCGCAGCCGGGGGCTCCCTGAAGGTGACGAAGTTCCCAAGCACGAAAGGAATGTAGTGGTAGTAGGGACTACCTCTACAGTGCAGGGTGTCGGGAACGGCACTGCTTCATCAGCAAAATGGATGAAATCCTCGAGAGCTAAGCCCCTCTTCTCAATACCGAGAAAGTCGAACCACCATAGAACCTGTAAAAGAGGTAAAACTCAGCAGCAGCGCGCTAGGAAAACATGCGACGCGCAGGGAATTAAGCGACACGCCTGCAAAACTCGGGCTGCATGGTGTAGATACAGCCTGCCTAACTGCAAAGCTAGACTGAAAGCCTCAAGCTGTAAGACTGGCAGTCGTGGCCTGCGGAAAGTCACCTCTTGTGGGGGGTTGCGAGGCAGCACGTACAGCGTGTCTGCCGTTTGACAGCGAAGCCTGGGGGCCTGCGAAAGATCGAATTCCAGTTCCCTGCATTCTACGCCTGCTGCTTCTACCTCTGCAGAGGTTGCCTCTGGTATTGAAAGCAGCCTTTCTCGTTTCATGAGGTCCGTAGTCCGCAACAGCGGAAGCGGCACCATGGAAAAAAAGAAACGAGCAGACTTGGATGCAGGCCGCTGCTGCGGTGTCTGCTGGAGAGAGGCCCCCTCTCCCCCTTTGTTCCCTCTCCTATCTGCTTTGAGAGTCACGACAGTCGGCGCCTTGTCTGCAGCAAGCCCAAACTTAGTAGCACGCACAGCGAAAATCCCCCTGGTGCTCAGCGGAAAGACGCAGCCGTAAACTCCGACGCAGAGGTTGTTGGAGCGAAGGCGGGGCAAGAAGAGCTGCCGCAGCGGAAGGATCAGTGGACATGCGACGGCAGCAACAACAACATGTGCAGAAAGACATACGCTGGCTTAGCCATAGGCGCACAGCCTCAAGCCCTGGTGCATCCACAGCTTCGCTTGTTGCCGCTTCTGAGGACTGCGCGTCTGACGTGGTGTGCTCTGGCGTGGTCTGTTCAGCTGTTGACAGAGAGCTTCTTTTACTATAACGAATGCGGCTACTGCCATGCTGCTGCTCTAGCTGCTGCAAGCTTGGCAGAAGCTCCTCCTCAGCCCACTGCTGCGCTGCATTCTCCGCATCACGGGTGTCGTCGCACACTCCGAGGGCCCCTACAACTCTAGGAATCTCTTCAGGCAGCAGCTGCCGCAGAAGCTGCTGCAGCTCGACCTTACCGCTACTGGAGCCGTTGCAGGAGCTGCTCTCTGCCGCGAGAGCAGCCAGCTGCTCCTGCATGCGACACGCCTTTCGAAGGGACTTGTAGGTGCGAGAAGCCATCGCGTTGTACGTACTGCGGTAGTTGCTGCTGCAGAGGCCCACCACTGCAAAGGCTCCCAGCAGGAAGACGGGCTCCTTCTCCTGCTGCTGCTGCTGCAGCGCATCTGCCCGCTGCCTCAGCAGCTCCAAAGCAGCAACAAAGTCCTTCCGCTGGAGAGCGTGGAGGTGCAAGTGCCGCACCCACTTGCAATAGCCAAGAAGCTGAACACACGCGAGAGAAAGCAGCAAAAGCAACAGGCTTTCGTACCAGTGGCAATGAGCAAAGTAGTGAAGCGGCTAGGCTCCAGCAGCCAGGAGTCGCTGAGAGCAACGGGCTGTTGCAGCTGCTTCCTGATGGGCCCTACCCAATCTTCAAAGCGCCGTGCACTTTCTGTGGCATCGCCTTCTCCATGAGTCGCGAGCACCAGCACGCGCAGTGCTAGGGGCCCATTGTCATTCCTGCTGTCGCTGTGAAGGCCTGCACCTTCGCTTGTGGATTCGCCTCCGTCAGAGGACGGCAGCAAAAAACCAGAGGGGGAAAAATCCTGGGGAAATAGCGCATGGGGGTGTTCACCATTCAAGAGATGTTGCTTCTGCTCGAGAGAGAGAGAGAGAGAAAATGTCTATACAGGGACTTGCATCCAGCTGTACGCTTCCACACACCGATAGACACACCAGTCACACACAACATTGACACTCACAGACATGCGAATCTAGGGCCTCGAAAACGGAGAAAGAACTCCACAGACGTTTGTTTTTCCTGGTGTTTCTTCAATCAGAAGGAGGCAGATATGGCCAGAACACGGGAACGTACCTCTAAATCGAAGATGGTTACGGAAGGGGGGCCCTGAAGCGCCCGAAGCCTCGCGGCAAGGAGCTCACTGATATTCTCTGCAGTTCCTGTTTCCGTACCAAAGTGGATATACACTGCAACGCCTCTGCTGTTGCTGATGGTGCATTTGCTGCTGCTGGTGTTGCGTTTAGAGGCGTGTGAAATCCGAAGGATGCGGTAGGCAGCAACAATGCCAGCTGCTGCTGCAGCAGCTGCTGCTACAACAGCTACCTGCCGGCTGCTTAGAGGCATTTCAAGCCGTCCATCCGTCTGTGCAATGGCTTGGCCCCCTGGGAAGCTATCGATCCACTGAAATTAGATGCCGTATACCCGAAAGCTTCGGGGTCTGAAAGCCCCCTTATGGATCGAAAATAAGGAAAAAGCTGCAAAACTTGCAGGAACCTGTCTCTCTTGTCGGGGGGCCTCCCCAAGCTGCCACGCCACCGACAATGACCGATGGGCAGGGCCCCTAGAGGCCCTCGAGGGGGGACGGGGGGGCGAGATGGCGACTAGCCGCGTTAAAACTTAAGGTCCATTGAAGGAGCACGTTCAGAAGTTGCCTCCTTTCGCAGAGATTTCCACGTGGCACTGTTACCTCTGCACTTGAGGGGCCCCTGGCCTCTGCGAGGAGAGGGGCTTTTCGTGAACTCAAAAGACTACTAGGTGAGTGAGGCAGGCGTTGGCGCTGGCAGGTAGTTGCCTCACTGCGTCACTGTGCATGTGCCAAGCTCAGTAGAGAAGCGGCTCAACTGCTGAGAAATAGGGCCCTTTGTTCACTTCGAGCTTCCGCAGTGAGGGAGCGTGGCTGCGGCACAAAAGGCTTGTGCTCGATAGCAGCTTTGACCTGACCCTGCAATGGCCAAATGCCAAAAACCCCATGTTTATTAGAAAAAGCTCTCAGGCAGCCGTGTAGCTGCTGATCCGCCTGCAAAGCGCTGCCAGCAGCCTCTCTACCCCTGGAAGCTGGGCGCTGCGATGTCTATACAGCGCAGCATTTAAAGGCCCGAGGGCCAGCGCACGAGAATGAGACCCTGTGGGTCTAAGAGGAAGCAACAGGTGTTGCTGTGCATGCAGCAGAAGGTGCTTGGTTCCGCGCAGGACAACAAGCGAGCATCCGGGTGTACGTTCAGCGCGACGGCCAGCCGTTCCTGCGATGCCCCCGAGAAAAGTTCTAGCATTCCTGCGCAACAACAACAGGCGCAGCAGCGCTGTCTGCTGTAGGTACAGGACTTGCTGTGCTGCTGCTGCTGCAGACAGGGCCACCCAACAGAGACACTGAGTAGCCGCAGTATGGTGTCTTCGGGCATGCCGAGGGCACAGGTAAGGGGCTTCTACGCGGGGACGTTTTGGCTGCCACAGGGGCCGTAATAAAACAGGCCAGAGGGTCACCTCGCTTAGGAGCAAGAACCAGCAAGCCCCCGCTTAGTCGTGCCGCCCGCGTCGCTGTAGCAGAAGCAGCCGCTTCGCTGTACGTGCACTTCAAAGGGAAGCGCCGCAACCAAGCCAGTTGCGCAGTGCGGTATCCCTTGACCATCCAAATAGGTAGTAGCGACGTCACAGATATCATAGACACCTACGCAAGCACCAAGCAGCGGCCCCCCCTAGGGAGGGGCACGTACCACTTAGAAATGAAGACCGGCCGGCGGGTGTATTGGTAGCAGTCAGATACGCTGCATGCAAAGCGCCAAGCCTGATGGGCTCAAACCGCAAGGCGCGATTTCCTGCGGCTGCTGCGGTAACCTGACGCTCTTGTATGTGTAGCGCAGCCCGCAAGGAGGCACCAGCGACAGCAGAAAGCGCACAGAAAGAGGCAGCAGCGCAGGAACAGGCGTCTCTGCTCACCCTGCCAAGGCTATCACTGAGGGCCGCTACAAAAGGGTTCCAGGGGCAAGGGCGCAAGGAGAGGGCCTCTCGCTGTGAGTCATGCCACCCGCTTTGTAAAAGGGGGGCGTTCACTGCGGCAACCACCCGAGTATGCAGAGGCTCTAAGAGTAACACTTGGGAAGGAGAAGGCATCTTCTCGCAAAGTCAGCGTTTACAGCAGCGCAAGAAACACAACTATCCCGTCTCTCTTCCTCCACCCCTTCCCTTTTCTTTCCCCTCGTCCCCGTTTATCGAAGATACGCGTGACCCACCAATAACGGGGGGTTCTGCTGTGCCCCTGGATCGCCTTGCCGCCTCTTTTGCGGGTTGCTCTTGCTGGCGCTGCTGTGTTCCCGTGTGTGGCATGAGGAGGCTGAGGGCCCCCCGAGCCGCGGCAGCAGCAAGCTTTCCAGCTGCGGTAGCAGCACTAACGGCGAAGAAGGTGAGGCGCGGCGTCTCCTGGCTGTCAGCCAAGACGAGACTGTGCAGAGACAACAAGGGGTTGGCTCCAGCGGCCAGCACCAGCTGCTGCTCGTGGTGCGGCAACGGTCTCGGAGAGGAGGGCCTCCTCTGGGGGGAAGGGGAGCGCTGATGCCTCGTTTTGGAGATCGCCAGAGAGGGAGGCGTCCTCCGGCGACACGAGTGAGCGGGGTCAGAATCCCTAGAGAAAGCCTCCCCACGAGCATCCCCGCGTTCCTCTTCTTCTTTTCGCCGTTGCTGCGATCCTCCTGCATCTTGCTGCGGCATTTCTTCCAGGAGTTGGAGCGTGTCTCGGAGCTCCCTGCTTGCCGCCGCGGTCGGAGGACTGGGATCTGCAGCAACAGCTGCTACCGCTCCCACGAATACAGCAGCACCCACAGTGTATCCGCGGGCATCGAGCCTGCAGGAGACGCAAGAAGGCCGTACCAGGAGCACTCCACGTGAAGAAATGCGCATTGAGAAGTGCCTGGGGCAGCCACAAGCCCCCTAGCCGCAGCAGCAACACCGCTATTCAGCTCCTGCCAGACCATCACCACCATTAGCAGCGGCGAAAAGAGACAGGCCGTGAGCCGCGAGAGCTTGCCTGGCAAAGACTGCGGGGATGTTCTGCTCTTCTCCTACTGCATGCGGGGGGGCCGACCCCTTAGTCATGCGGCTTGCAGCTGCTCTCTCCTGAGCTGCTGCAGCTGCTGTCCGTAAGGCTGCCACCGATATCGTAGCAAGGTGACTGCCTGCCAGCAGCATCAGCAGAGAAGCGTCCTTGTGGACGTGCTCGCCACGCATGCACGTGGAGCAGCAAGCACAGCCATTGCTATGGCTGCCCAGCTGCAAGTCCAGAATGGCGAGGGGCAGCCAAGAGCAACAGACGCACGCTGCGCCTCCCCAGGTGTACAGACAGAGTGTCCCGCTGCAGCAGCGGCGCGCACAGCGCCAAGAAAACACTGTAAGAGCAGCAGCAGCGCTTACACCACCACCAGCAGCAACAACAGCACCACGAATATCCAGATCAATAGCAGCTGGCAAGAAAAAAGGGGCCCTACCTGACTGTACCTATGAGCAAACCCAGATGTCCCCGTTCCAGTTCAAGCCAACGCTGCAGACACCATAGAAGCTTTCATGATGGATACATCCGCAAATACGGAATCTTGAACTACGGCTAGCTCCACGGCGTGTTGGATTTCTGGCTACTTGAAGAGGAGAGCCTACCACGCAAGCCACAGAGGCCTTTCCCAGCTGTTCAGGCATTTCCACTCGCCAGCTATGGCTCAGCTGTGCTTGATCATTCTCGTTCTGCTGGATAGCTCCATTCCAGCGCATGCAGCGCAGTCCGCGCTCGTTCGGCAGATGGACACACAGGTAGACGCTGTGACCTTCCCTGCAGCAGCCGCTGCTGCTCTTTCCCTGTGTAATGCAGACGGAGCAACAGCTGAGGCTACAAGGTGTGCGTGTACGTACTGCTGGAATGTACGATTGTGTCTCTTCTGAGAGCGGGGCTCCTGCCAGTGCCTCTGCGAGATGGCCCCCATCTGATGGGAAGTTCGTGGGACTGTCGATGCAGTGAGGCAGTATGTACACTGCAGCACAGTCAGGCGCTGCTGAACCGCCTCCGAAAAGGCCTGCTGCTCCTGCCGCTGCTTCTACTTGTGCAGAGTCATGTGCTACTCCGGCGGGCTCCTCCTGTGCTGCTGCGCCTGCCGTGAGCACTAATGAGGCCTCTGATCCTGAGCTTTGAGGCAGCGTCTGCGAGCTTAGCCTGTGCAGCCTCAGGAGTCGTGTGCCACCCATCGCTGCTCCTGCGGAGCCGATGTCTTGCGTAGCGGGCTTCAGGTGCAGTTTCTTCAAAGAGGCAGGGCCATTATTCGCTTCCCTGGGAACAACCAATAGAAGAGCCGAGTTCTGAGCATGGAAGAAGAATCGGTGTCGATTCGCCTTCGCTGAAATAGCGCAGTGGCTGGGGGGCCCCCAAAGGCGGGCGGAGGGGGCCCCCCTGTAGAGCTCCCGGTGACCTGGATGCAGGACCGCGCTCAGCTATAAATTACCATCGCACACACAACTGTTCCAAGTCAAAGTCAATTCAAGACTTGTCAGCACTATTCTCAACCTAGTGGACATTTGAGTGTATGTCTGTGCTGTTCTGTGCGAAGACACGACCCAAGAGGAGCGCGAGTTTATCGCATGGTGAGTTGCAAAAGGAATGCTTCAGTCTCGGCAGTCTTACTTTAGATCCGGCATCATGTTTTGGTTGTTGCACATTTAAGGGCAGCTGGGAGTGCGACAACTTGGATGAGCTTCACATGGCTCGGTTTGCTTGGACAGAGCCACGGGTAGCGCTGGGTCCCACAATCTCCACAACGACACCCTATTAACCTCGACCTAGTATGAAGGGAAAGGAGAAAGCTTTTAAATACCCTTTTTTGCCCGATTTCACCAACTTGTCCGCAACCCTTGAGTTGCGACATGCGGGTAAAAAGGAACGCTACCTATACCGTTTCTGCAACACTTCTAGTTGCACATAGCGACGTAGCACAAATACACATGGCACTCGTTCTCACCGTTTCAATTTGACCCCGCTGTTCGCCAAATAGTGTGTGCGCAGAGGCAGGGCAGTCGGTCGAGATTCCGCAAAATATACATCTATAGAAGCACGATGCAACGTCTTGCTGGGCCCGCTATTCTGAGCACCATTTGTTTGTAACGTTTCGGGGCGCAAGTCAGGATAAAGAAGTTGCAAAATACTGCGTATGATGAGCTCAGTTCGTGTGGAACCTTTTGCACCCCCAACAAAAAGAAACAACGATTGCGGGGTTGCGGCAGGAATGCTACTAGCTGGCGAATCCCAGATAACGGTAGCAACTAAATTTAGAACTTGTGGGAGCAAAGGTTGCTATCAGAGCGAAATATGAGGGACCTCCACCCTCCCGCTCCTTGACCATCCAGATGTGGCTAACACTCATGCATGGTGCCTCAGGCTTATTGCCCTGGAAAAGCACCCCACTATTACATGCTTCTCGGCTGAAAAAGAATGCTATTCGGTTTCACTTCACGGTGTTATGGGTCTTCAGAACTTGTGTGGAGGAGCTTTTGTTTAACTATCAAACTCGTCAACTACCGGGTGTGCTGCCGATCCGACAGGTTGCACCCCTTCTGTAGCTCTGCCGCAGCTCTCTAATAATCCCCCTGTCGTTGTAAGAGGCTATCCTAGATCTCCCAAAGGGAGAGTCTCTGTTAGATAGCACGTCATTCATACGAAAGCTCTGCATCCATTAACATGCTGATACGTTCTCACGTAACGGTGGACCGTACTATAAGAGTGTCACTAATTAGCACAGTGTTCCCAGTCCATACGCACATCCATATCGAGGATTTTAAGGAACTTATCGCCTCGAGATCAGGCCTCCCAAATCGAAGGTCGAAGCATTGCGAAGCGGTGGACCGTACCTCGCATTCGGGCATCCCTGAAGCTAGGTCAGTGCTCGCGGCTGCTAGTAAATCGAACTCGAACTAAATGCCTGACAAACATATCTCGAGTGTACAGACAGTGCAAAAGCATGCAAGTACAGGTAGTGCTAAGCTCCAATATTTCGTAGGGGGCGCCAAATGCAGATCACCGGCGTTGAGCGTGCAGTACACGGCGCACATGCGTGTGAGTAAACCAAAGGCCATTTGAATATCCCAGCTTCCGATAGTGCCTGTGTTCTGCCTTACAATAAAACCTGTCCCCCACACCCACAATCGCGGAAATCTATTGCTACCTTTTGGGTTCCTGCTGCCATATGTGCTTCCGCTGCAGACTGCATTGCGTTGGTGATAGAACAGCAAGCTTTTGTCTGCACCAAGGACAAGACACAGGGAACTCTTCTAATTTATAAAGAACCGATAATGTTGGTGCACTTGTTCGCTTGACGCTGGCCTAAACCGTTGGCATGCCTGCAGCAGTAGACAGGTTGCCCAGCAAAAAACGGGCTCCCCACCGAGAGGTAAAACGCAAGCGAACAGAAATTTCTGCCGCTGTAGACTAGGAAATCCAGATTTGAGCGATATTTATGTATGTTTACGCAGGCAGAAGCATCGAGGGAAGCAAGTCACTGCACAGGGTGCTGGAGCTGCTACAAGGCGGACTCGCCTAGCAGCCGCGGCGGCACCAGCTCGATCCTGCGGCCGATTGCAGAGCGCAGCTAGGAGCGGGTTTAGTTGATGGCATTCGATGAAATCGTTCTTGCCAGAAGGATCAATGAGGGGCTCTTGTCCTCTATGCGTCAGCAGCGGTAATTCGTTCCGTATCTGTACTTGTAGTACGAGCGCCAGGAGCCGCGGCATTTTCTCATCACTACGGCAGCTGCTGGCTTAGTATGGTGCAGTTCGAGTCCCCTTCTGCATCGGGAACACTGGCATTATTACCTGCAAGGACGCTATTGGCGTAATCGGCCCCCGCAACGCCAAGGGCCCCCGATGTGTGAAGTGAAATGACAGAACGCCTGCAATAGCTTATGTTTCGATTCGGACACGCACGTGGAAGCAGCAGAAACGCAGCCCCTTGTGCAATTGCAGTAAAGGCACAACTAATCAGATGCTGTTGCTGTAGTCCATCAGCAGCAAAGGGACCAGCAACTGAGGCATCGACTTCTCTGCAGCGAGGAAAGAATGGGCAACGCCGCACCAACGGGGGAAGCGGGTAAGCCCTTCTACTATGAGCAATACGGACGCTCCTGCTGTTGCTGTTGAAGCTGTTGCTTGAGTTTTCACCTTATACTGTAATATCTTCGTGTCTTTCCCCCCACCCCTCGTTTCCCTCTCCCCCCGTCCCGGCGGTGTATGTGCAAGTCTTTATGTTCATGGCATTTCGCCACCTGTCCATCCACGAATCGCCGCCTCTGCATCTTCGCAGCCGTCTATGTGCTCGTTGATCACTTTCTCTGGTATGCAATTGCCGCATCTCTTGATTCTGCAGGCTTCCGCGTGCTGCGGATACAGCCTGGGACCCCCGCGGAGACAGCAGACTTCGAGCTCTTCTTCGATTTCATCATACAAATAGAAAATGAATCCCTGTGTAGTCCAGACGTCCGTACTTTTTTTCCCTACAAGCCTCAATCCCTGAATCGTAGTGCGCCCTCATGTATTCATGTATACATGAGGGCGAATGCCTCTCTATCCCCGAAATCCCATAGTGGCTTTCAGAGGCTTTTGCACCGATCCTATGCCTCCGTGCGCTCTATGCTGACGCTAACAGACACAGCCAATTCAATTATTGCTGCCTCTCTTGCCAGGTTTCTGTGCAATCGGTGCTGAAGCGCATCGACGCCGCGGAGGGACGGCCCATGAGGCTAACCGTTTACAACGCACGTCACAGGATGAATCGCGGTGGGAGCTGCAAGGGTGCAGGATTTACGCTTTCGGGTTGCCTCCTCTCATCGACCTCATGTGTCTCTTGTGTCTCATGTAGACGTGTTGCCTCATCCCGGTACTTGGGGGGCCCCCCCTTCGCCCATGCTGCTGCCTCAGCGTGTTTGGGCCTAGTGTTTTTGCGGTTTGTGTCTTCTCAGAGGTCTACGTGCAACCGGCTCGTGCGGCTTCGTCCCTGGTTTTGCTAGGCGTTTCTCTGCAGTATTGTCCTTTCGAAGAGGCGCTGTCATCGCCTCTTCGAGTTTTAGGAGTTCTCGATGCCTCTCCAGCTCAAAAGGCCAATCTGCAGGAAGGATCGGACTACATCCTGGGTGACGAAAAGGTATGGCACTTGGTGCCTACAGCTGAGCTGTTGCCTTTTGTCTGCTGCCTCCTCTCCATAGGACGCCGCCTCCGCTTTATAGCCCCTGTGTCTGCCCTGTCTGCCCTATTCACGTCTCCCCGCGGCCTTCGACTCACCCCTCCCTCCTCAGCATTCGCTCCGCTGCATTTTGTCTGTTTCTTGTTTTCTGCGCAGGGAGCCTACCGTGGCGTTTCAGATCTCATAATGGCTGCAGAGGAGCACATGGGGTCTTCTTTGACTCTCTTTGTGTTCAACAAGGACACAGAGAGAGTCCGGCGCTTAGTCCTGCAACCCTGCGATAACTGGGGGGGAGAAGGATGGTTCGTCTCCTTAGTTGCTCCCTAAGCTTTGCTGCCGTGCTGAGTGTTTCGTTCCCCGGTAGAAGCTCCGTGCGCCTGCAAATGTTGGCGGGGGCTTCGTGGAGTAGGAGTTTTCTAGCTCTGCTCCGGCTGTACCTCCTGGAGAGGGGGCCACGTGTGCTACTTGTCTGCTGCAGCCTCGGCTGTGATGTGGGATCTGGCTTTCTGCATCGAGTTCCCTTCTCGAGAGCAGCAAAGGACGATGCAGATGTACGGACAGCAGCAGCGGTGGCAGCAGCGGCAGTGCCGAGCACATCAGCGCCTCCCCAGACACGCGAAGTCCCCACACACCTCCTGCAGGAAATGCAGCCGCCTCAGCACCAGCAGCTTCAACACCAGCAGCTTCAACAGCAGCAGCAGCAGCAACAGCAACAGCTCCAGACGGCGGTACGTCCGTGTGTGTTGGTTGACGGAGATTGTTTCCGCGTTTTCTGTATGCATGAACGTAGCTGCTGGATAGTTGCTGCGGTTGTTGCTTGTTTGCGTGTTGCCACGGTGCCGCTGCTGCGTCAACTCGCTTTCCTTTGCCGACCAAAACAAAGGAAAGGCACCCCATTTTGCGGCGGAGCTCAAAGTGTGGATCGTGCCTTCATCTTCGTGTTTTTATACACGTCGTCGTATGCCAGCCACCTTTGCTTTCCCGCAGGGCACTTCAACAGCAGCAGCGGCAGTAGCGGCAGGTTTGCGCATGAGCCCCCCGCTGGATGTTCCAGACCCCACTACAGACGTGCTGGCGTCTTGTTTGCTCCTTCCCACCACCAATTCTCCTCTAAGGGATCCCACCTTTGCAGGCGCCACCTGGGGTGCTCCTCTTGTTAAGGGGGCAAATGTATCACCCAACGGTGAGGCGGTTTGGAGCACTGTATCGATCTCCATATGCCTTTCTTGGCTTGGCGTGTGCACGTGTTGCAAGTCTGGTTCAATGAGGCCTGAGTTGAAGGAACGCGTCCATAAGGCCAATCGTTCTTCGCTATGGGACCGCTCAGTCTGTTGGCTGTGATTGCTGCAGCAGAGGCAGCTGGTGCTACGTTTGCTCTGGACGGATTTGGCACTTCTGCCGGTGAGCGCCTTAGCTTCTGAGACGCGCGTGTTGCTTTGCTGCTGCCGCCTCTGTAGGGGAGGGAAGGGGCGGAGGTTGACTTCGGTCTGGGTAGGCGTGCCGCAGTAAAGTATTACCAACAAGCGCACTGCATCAGCAGCACTGCAGTGCTCCTGCTTTTCAGCAGGTTTTTGTATATTCATGTATCAAAAATTGTTTTACAGAGAGCGGTCAGCTGGGATGTTCAACTGTGCTATTTGCTTATACGCCTTGGTGCCCGTTTGTGCCACGAGCCTGCACTGTTAGACCGAGTAGCTGCAGCACTGGCAGCAGAAGCTGCTGTTGCTGCTATTGCCGAGGATGCGGCATGCGCTGTTGCTAGGGCAACAGCAAATGCTGCAGTTTTTTGCTTTTCGGCCACTTGGCCGTAACAGGAAGCCCGTGAATTTTTAAAATAGGCAATTAACGCGGCGCAGTAGCAGCAGAGACAGGCGCTTTGGTGTGGCTTTCCGTCTGGGAAATGAAAGGCAGAATTAAGCTACTGAATCCTTTGGAGCGCTCTGCTTAGTTTGCTGTGTATTTCTCTCGGAAGCCACCTTCTTTATTCGCTTGTTCTCTCCTTGAAGCATGCGGCAGCTGTGTAGGCTGTGCGCTGTGGTGTTGCTTGCGCCTATGACTGCAAGTAGCATTGCGAGGGTGAGTAGCCCTGCTGCCGCTTTCGGTGCGCTGCTGTCTGCTCAGGCGATGACATCAAAGAGGTGCCCGAGCAGCAGCAGCAGCAGGACTGTGCCGTAGAGCATTTGCTGCAGCAGCGGAATGCTGCATTCGCGAGCAACGCTAAAAGTGCCTGTGAGGCGCGGTTCCGCTATATAACAGCATCTTTCACACTATGGTACAACGGCGGCTTCCGTATAGGTTCTTTAGGGGCTTAGAGCTTATGTGCCTGGTGCCTGCAGATTTGGCGTACGACTTGCCATATGCAGCGGCGATGATGAGTCACTCCGAGGCTGTGATAGAAGGCAAGCCTCAACCCAGCACAGTGCTCAGGCCCACTGCTGCAGCTTATGATTGGCTTGTCTCAGTAGTGTCGCTGGTAGATTGGCTGCCTGCTTCTTGCAGCATTTCCATGCTGGCATTCCACTGAAGCTGTTTTGCTTGGTGAATCTTTCGGCTCTTTGTTAGGCTCGGCGCTTCCTGGCCAGATAGGCATGCAAACAATGTGAAGCAGGAGAGATCCCTACCCTGAGAGGAATTTGTTTCTGGTTACACACCCCCCGCAGGGCCGCTCAGCAGGAAGGAAAACGATGGGAACTTTGCGGGTGTAGGCAGAATGACAGCTGCCTACCGGCTATCCTGATTCGTACCGCAGCAGCATCAGGCCAGGAGCAGTAAGGCCTTGAAGCCTTTGCTGAACTAGACTAGCACCCTGTTTACTGGCGTTAGATTACGAGGAGCAAGTCGCATGTCGGAGCAGATGGTCCCTGACGAGGCTTTGTTGCTGTAGTCTTCCTACAAATGCCTGTGTATGTAGTATAGGAAGATGTCTAACGAGATGTCCCTATTTAGTTTGCTTCTATAGGCCTCTATTGTTTCATTTTTGATTCACCAATGGACATTTTCCGTAGGATTCTTAGTCCGCGTGTGCTTCCTCTCATGGTAAAAATCGACTTAATACTACACTCTCGTTAGTAACCCACTACATTGCCCACGGGTACACTTGCAGCGTAAGAAGGCCACTTACGTAATTGCCGAAACGGGCTCCAGAAAGGGCAAGTAGTGATACGCTCTCACCAGGTTGCAATGACTGGTGACTGAGCTTTCATTCCTGGGGGCTACATTCACCCCCGAATCATGTGCGTGTTGTTTGTCAAACGGCCTACGAGGCGATGCTTCCGAGTGGTCAAAAACCGGTGCCCCTAGACCTACTCACGTGCTGTGGAGCCATTATACCTAGCTGCACTCCGCTTGTTTGCTTCCAGAATTATAGGAGCTGTCTCGGCGCATGAGGAGATGTCTGAAATGCAGCACTAGGAGGCAGCCTCCTATCCTCAAACGGGCACGATCGATAGTTTACATGTAGGTGCCTATACACTTGAAATGGCTTTGTTTAATACAAAGCTAATGATCTTGGCGCCTTTGGAGCGCTCTTCGACTATACAACACCCTTTGTAGCGTACATCACCGTGTGGGATTTCAGGACCAATGGTCCATACTTGCCTGGGCCACAACGGTTTGCATCAATCCATCCTCAACAGCAAATTTGGCAGTGTTCCCTGCTACTTTAATTTACTCTCCTCCCTTCGTAGTGGGGGTTCGCATGTTAAAGTATCTGAAGCAAAAGCTGTACAGGTGGACGGAGACACAGTAGGCAGGGGCTGCTACGGTACAGCTAGTGTGCAGCACAGTCTACAAGGAAGAATGCAGGCATTGCTAGAAATATTCTATATGATGTCTCTTTCTCACCGATCCCGTCATAACGGTATCTAGGGTAGCGTCTTTGAATGTTATTTCCGCAGATTGTCATGCATCGTGGTCAATAGAGACGCAGCTTCCAATGGACAACCTGCACTACGTTTTATTGGCTTAGCAAGTACATCCCAATTTACGAGTTTTCTCATCCTCTTTTTTAATCGTATTGCCTTGCACAGCTCTAAAACCTCGCATTCGTTGTGTATACTTTAGCGTATAGAGGGAGAGACACGAGCAAGGGATGGCTGGCCCTTCGTGCTTCGTTCCTCTATCGCTGTCCCTCTGCATGCACGCCCCTATCGTTGAATTAAGAGAGCCTGCCCTCTACTGTCGTTGGCTGAAGCCTTTTGTGCTAAATTGCTTTCCGGGGCTGCTGCATTCATGAGAGGCAGCCTCTCGATGTTCAGCTGTCTGCAAGCTCCAAGGGCTGTGTCCTACAGAACTCTGCATTGGCCGAAAATACCCCTGCGTATATCAGGTGTACTCCTCCTTCTGTATCTGGCGGAGCTTTGCATTGTGCTGGAGGCATAAAAGACAGCAGGACGGAAATACGAACAACATGAGAATGAAGCATTTTTTCTTTTGTGCCACACTGGTAATGCTGAGGACCCCAGAATTGTCCTATACAAAAAAAAGCTCAGATTCAGCGGCGGATAGAGCCTTCAGTAATTGGCCAGGGCGTCCTTCACATCCCTTGGATGCTCAATTCCTCAAAATGGGCTCTCGGGCGACAGGCGGGGGAGGGCACACTGAAGAAGCCAACACGTGGCATGCAGTGACCTCAAAGGACGCTTTACAGAACATTCTTGAGATTCAGGCGGAGGCAATGAGTAGTGATGCGCTATTGCTTGTGCCTCCCATTTTTATGCCTGCGGTAGGCGGCTCCGTTCCTTGCCGTTGCCTCCACTTATCCACCAAACAGCTCGTGCCCTCGCTCTGTCCTATGCTTCCCTCCTAGGTCTACACACACTCCAATGTGCTGCCTCTCTTTTTCCTGGTACTGCCCCCTCCAGGTAGCACTACTCTTCATTGAAGGAGCAATACAAGCCATGAAGGGCGAACTGGAAAAACAAAAGAAGGTTGAAGCTGTACTACCAGACACAGCAGCGGCCGACATACACGATAGTGCCCCTACTGCCGATGCTGGTCCTGACCTTCCCGCCGATGCTGCGGGTGCAGGGCAATGGAGTGCCTCCCCCTTTGTCAGTGACGCCTCAGAAGAGGTGTTATCTTTCATGATTCGGGTCGCTGTGGCAGCTCAACGGCGTCTTGAATTGGAGATAAATATGCGGGAGGCTCGTGGGAATATAACTCTTTGTCAGCTTCTTAATTACTATGCACTAAGCTCTTCACTCTACAAGGAGGAGGCTTTGGCGTTGCAGCAGGCAGTTACAGCCATGGGGCAAAGGAGGCTGCAGGCCGTGGTGCTGCCTGCTCCTGAAGAGGAGGAACCCCCCGTCTTCCCCATGAAGGAGATTCTCACGCTAGAGCAAGTATCTGCAGCAGCACGCCTGTGCTGGGCTCTTCATGAGGCGTTCGCGAAAGCGCTCCAATACCGACCACTGCAGGCCTTCAGCCAGTGCAAAGGGAAACTGGACGACACATCTAGCCCAACTGAGCAAGCTGAAAGCCATAACCGCCAACAAGAAAACCACAAGACAAAACATGTTTATCCTCAGGAACTGGAGATAGACGTCCTGCTACATGATCTTCGAGAGGACGTGCATGAGAAACTGCAGATGAGCTTAGGCCTTCAGAAGGAACTTCACACGGAGTTGGCTACTCAACACATTCCCCTGGAAGTCTCGCCGTTGTGGCTGCGCATTGCAGTGGTGCAGACCGACTTTCTTTGTCCTCACTATCTGACTGCCGTCACCCCAAGCCTCGGTAAGGCTGCAATGGACACCGTTATCCGCTGGTTACAGGCAAAACCGATGCAAGGGAATACACCAGGGCCCATGGGAGCACACTGCTTTTTCTGTAGCTGTTTCCAAGCCTAGTCCCGCCGCAACCAACCATCCACTATGTCTCATTTCTTGCTGCTATTGCTCGTGCTCTAAAAACTTTGTGCTGTTTCAGCCTAAGGTGCTGTTTGTGTGTGCTGTGTTGGGCGAAGACATGGGTTATCTTCGCGGAATGGAGTTGGCGTTTTACCGCATGCAAGTGCGCCGACCTCAGGCACCATCCTGGGCGAAGTTGCAGCCCTGGCTAGCAGATTATATTTTTTCAGTGCCTGATAACCCTGGGAACCTCGCGGCTGCCGTGCGAATTTATTTGCTCAAGGCCCTGTTTTCTCTGCGCGGGCGGATCTTGCAAGAGGACCAGCTGCTGCGGAATTACGAACTGCGCAGTAGCACCGATGTGCACCAAGCCGCGACTCTCAGGGCTCAGGAGTTTGAATATCTGGCTTTTCTCACCAAAACACTAGAAACAACTTTGCGTGCCCTCAGCGCAGTATGCTTGAAGAGAAGAGCTGGACGCCGGAGACAGCTGCTACAACGACAACGTTTAGCTGCCAAGGCACGCGGCGAAAAGCCCCCCAGTCTTGCTGAACCGAGAAGGCCATCGAGACCCCTTGTGGTGGCAGGCTTAAAAATGCGTTATTCAGAGCTCGAACACCTCAGGATCGTGCTGTTTACTCGAGCTGCTGCCCTACGGGAGCTTGCCGCTATTGCCGCACGAGGAGGGATGTCCACAATTGTTGCTCGAGGTAGAAGTCTCTTGGCCCACTACCATAGTCGGCTCTCCGCCGTGAGCAGCTTTTTATATTACCTAGAAATGGGCGAGGCCTCTCTGATGATGTTTAAAGATTTCCCAGTTGAGCTGGTTAAGGCACTCAGCAAGACTGTTTTATTACCGGACCCGCTGCACAGTGAAAACGGCTTATGGTAATACACCTACCCAGAACACCGGCACGACCGTCATCCAGTAAAACAGATACACGTGAGAGCATTACATGAGAAGCGAGGCATACGCTTGACGCCAGCAATATCCTTTTGAGTTGTTGCAGCGACTCTGATGTTGATGACTACGTATGCTTTTTTCGAGCATCCACATCGCATTCCCCCTTTTTTAAGCGATGAAGCTGTACAAAAAATAACTAGTAGAAGGGCATTCAAGCACACGAGGCCGCTGCTGCCGGTGCTGCAGCAGAAGCAGAACTACCTATTTTCACGTGCCTGTTGTCCTCCCCGGGCAAGCAATAGCTGCATGATTTCTTGAGTGGGTGTACGTGTTCTGTCGCTACTGGGGTTAGCGCGAAGCACAGAGTATGCCTTTCTACATGTGCGCACACCCTCTGGATAGCGTAGTCAGTCAGCGAACATGAGCCACCGAGCTAATGCGCACAGGTAAACTTTTAGGGTCCCTAGCGGCATCCAGTCCGACGCAGCGGCCCTCCGCAGAACTGCAGCCTTTAGGACTGTTTTACTCATGCTGCTGCGTCGCTTATTTGAATGCGGCTGCTTGCCTGTCTTCGCAGCCCTGGTAGGCATCAGTAGCCCAGAGCATTAAGGGGCCTCTGAATGCGCTGCGGCGGGCCTGATGTTGCGTTGCTGATTAGTAGCCACATAGTGCTGCAGCAGTAGCAAAACATGCTGTGGCAAGTGTTTTTGCACCTCAGCGGCAGCAGAAAGCACACTTTCGTCAGGAGGGGATGCAGGGGGTATCGCAAGGATAGCAGGCCCATACTGAGACACGAGCTCATAAAACAAAGTCCGCAGGAGCAAGCAAGCCCGTAGAGCTAAATTTCCATCCAGTGGTGGGGTTGCTGCTATAGATGCTTGACTTGACGCCTCCACGGCAGCTGCTGCGGGATAGGAGTAGTTGGTGCGGCTTTCAGAGCCATCATCTGCAGCAGCGCAGCAGAAACAGGGAGGACGGGCAAGCATGTTGCCGATACTTCGGGGGTGTGCCCTGTAGAGCCAGACCTAGAGGCTAGGATCTACTGAGGGGATAACCAGGGGGGGCTAGGCCTTTAAGAAGGAGAAAAGGAAAGAAAGACAGCCAGAGAAAAAGTGGAACGGGGTAGTTCACAATACGCGCGGGACTTACTCTGTGCATCTGCGACAGCCAGCCACAGGGCCTTGTCAGCCTCAAAGACCAGTCGCCAGAAAGCCTGAGGAAGTCACATCCACCACAAAGATTTTGTGGTGTCACGTTTACGCGTTAAAGTATTTGACTTGTAGAACAATGTGCTTTGCGCAAGCCGAAAAGCGGGGGAGAGGGCTCCGAATGCAGTGTATGGACACCCCCAAGCCTACAGTGAAAGACGTGACAGAAAGGCCTTCAGACAGGAGCAACGCAGGCAGCAATTGAGCAGCCAGGCGCAGCAATCGAAGCAAAGCGAAGCGGCCTGCGAATGCAGCATAAGCCACGCTTCTTCCTGCTCCTAGTGGTGGTGCTCTTGTCCTACAGTCGGCAGCAGCGGGTAAATGGGTGTACTCTGCGTGTTGCAGCAGCCGTTAGACGAACCATGCATATGCAGGAGTGACACAGCACTTGCGAAAGTGTGCGACCGCAAGTCAGATTGCGATTTTTCTAGTTGACTAACCTGCGCAGCA